ATCCAGGCTAGATTGTCTGACCAATCTAGGTTTGAGAAAACTGTGATTCCTCAAAAGAATGGACATTTTCGGTGCTGGTGTAATTCATTTCACAGACGTCCAGGCCAGGTTTGAAAATTGGAGAGCTGTAATACATTCTGCCTCATTTTGGACTGACTCGCACATAATAAGAGAAAGCAATCAATTGAAAGAACCATGACAACTGAGAAGAACATTAATGACATTAGGCCTATTATTGTGCCTGAAAGTGGACTACATGATTGGATGCTGCCTGTGCAGATAGCCCATTTTTGACAACTCAGCTTTGGTGAGTAATTAGGTGCCGCCACGTTTTGTGGACACAGTTTCAATTTCCAAAGGGAGGAAGCTTCCCAGTTATGCAAATCTAGACTGTGTTACAAGCTATGCCGAAGGAGATATATCTCACAGTGAGTGCTATAGAGTTCAATGGGCTGCATTTCAAACACCAGCCACCAGATGATTAGCCACACGCACATGGGACTTGTTCCCTCCTGGTGTAAAATGGTAGACATATGGAGACAGTTAGAGATGCCTTGTATATGACTATAAAAAATTGATATAGCGGACTCGTGTTTCTCTCCATACATGGGTGGAGAACTCCACTTCCACATGTACCAGCCAGAGCAGATCACATCACCAGAGACAGCCAGAGCTGAGCAAGTCACTGCGAACATGAATCAAGTCACTTCAAACATGAATAAAAAACTTTGAGGAGGATTTAGATTAAAAGGACCTCCAGACGCGCAAAATCAAATTTGTGCTGAACTAATGCTTTATCAAAGCAACCATCTCAAAATCTTAACGTCGATGGCTGAAGGATACATAGGCACCGCAAACGTTTAATTCAAAAAGTGCCCCACCCTCACACTCAGATTCAGAACTGAAGTTTAGCTAATTCCCCAGGGTCACTGTGATTAAGATGGGGAGAGTCACAGGTCACATTCAGAGCAGTCATGCCCTGACCGAATAAATCATCTTACATAAACAGGACCGCCAGCATGCTGTCTCTGTCATCTGCATTCTTATTTCACACTGCATTCAGCACAAAGAAAGCAAGCGATCCTTATTTATTCTTAAGCACCAGCATGAATGGCAGAAATATTCATTGTGCATAGTGAATTCTGTTTCAAGTTTGTTTTTCATCATCAATGCTATTTTTTCCCCCCACACTCCCTCCAACTTGCACTCTCTGTGATCTGCCCTGTCATCTTACATACTGACTGATGTGTTGAGTAGGGCTGTGACGGTATGGGATTTTTTCTTACCGCGGTAAAGAAGCAACAAATCTCGCGGTTTGGCGGCTAGATCCGATTAGAACCTGGAAATTACATTTTTTCCCCGCAGTGCTGAATGAGAATAGCCATAACCACATGTGACATATAGGCGAGTTATAGACTATAATCAATGTGTCTGAAAAAATAACGAGGCATTTTAATTGTTTATAAGCGGATGCGCCTTTAAAGAGAAATGCACGTTTCATACGGATTGAATTAGTATTAGCTTTCGATTCGAATTTGTTCTTTTTAAAGTGGACATTTCAAGCTTTAGCCTTCATAGACTATATTTTGTTTAAATTCTCGCGCAGTTCACGGAGATCTTGAAACCACGCCTGATAGTTTTATTTTATTTTACAAAAGCACAACGTTTATTTGTTAGTGTGAGTTTACGCAAATAAAAGTAGTTGTGAATAAGGTATTATTATTTTCTGTATGACCAGAAATGATAGAGTAGCCTATTTTAAGTTGTTTCCACTGTTGATAGGAAAATGCAAATTTTTGCGCCCGTGCCTCCGTGCCATGCAGTGCGCGCATACTGTATGTTTAATGGACTGTCTCTCCCTTGAGCAGGACATTGAACATATAGGACTTACGGAATACAGTAAATTATAAGCAAATATTTATGTGTTTATAGTTCATATCACACACCATGCACCTGTAACTTTCAGCAAAAAAAGAAAAAAAGTGCGGTGATGATGTCACACCACAGTAGGCATCTCATTAACGCGATATTGAATATCACCACACCCCTAGAGTTGAGTATACATGGAGGATGTCCAGAGCTTTCATATCCCAATTTCCTATAGGGATATGTGGATGAAAGAAAATAACAACACACCGCTGGAAGATGCAAACTTATTATCATGGACATAAATGTTGAAGAATATTTCCTTTTCGAGCCCATTTAAAAATTCACTTGAGACACGATTTCAGTCGCCCGGCCCTCTATTCCCATCTGTTCAAATTAGGAAAACAACAAGAACAACTAGCCAGGAAACTGAAAACAGATAGCGGACGATGAATTGGTAAAGAAAATCAATCGGCTCGTATTGGACTAAAGCGGCTGTAGATAAACACTGTTCTATTGATTTCAGGAGTGCTCTACACATCACAACAGCAAATTACCCATATCTTGGAAAAATAGGCATAAACTCCAGTCATGCTTTTCTTGAGAATAGTTCTTTTTTCTTTCTTTTTTTCAGTTCAATTGTCTGAAAGTATAATTTTTGGAGGTATTTATGTGGTATTCCATTATTGAGGTAAAAGCATGATGGAGGTTCATAAATCACTCTTGGGTGAAATTAATCATGTGCATGTGCTAATCAATGTTATCCTGCTTCATCTCCTGCGAGCAAACACAGCTTTTACTGGGCCATTGTCAAGTCAGGTGACAGATAGCTCTGATCTAATTATCATACAGAGACTACTGAAACATTTGCATACAGGCTTTCTCACAATCTGAGAAGGCACAACTCTCAAACTATTAAGACTGTCAAAGTGTTAAACTTTTGATCAAAAAAGAAATTCCATTGTTTGTCAGAACATCACATTTTAAAATCGGTTTGTTTGAATGTAGCATGACAACTATGACAATTGCAATTAAAATGATTTTATTGTTTTGTGTTTTTAAATACATAAAGACAACTCACAGATTTAATTAAAATGGCCATGATAAAAACAACAAATATGCACTTGATTCTCCATCCAGTTGTTATGTTGCTTGTTGTCAAAGAATTCCAGCAAGTCAAAGGTCATATGGCCTTGCTATCTATCTGTACAATTTGGCAATCTGAACCCAAACAGAATTGCAAGCATTTTCTAACCCTTTGATTATTTGGTGACATTTGATAACATTCACATGATACTTTTGTATTTTAAAATGATGTTGTATGTTGTAGGCTTCCCATTGACTTTTAAAAGACCCATGTTTAACATAAAAATACAGGTGAATTGAAACATGCATATTGTTGCATCCAGTATGCTATTAACCTCAAGTTGAATAAACCCAACCAGTTTCCTTATTACTTCTTAACATTCTTAACATCAGAATGGTCAACAGATCAGGTTTGTTGTTTATTACGTACACTATGTCCTCAAATCCAACCAAAGTATGAGTAGAACACCTTAGAATCAACCATATGACCACAGTTGTTCAACCAGTATTTGCCAGACAAAGATTTTTTTTTACAGTGTCAAATCCAGCAATTTAGTGGATAAAAAACTGCATTGCCACAATGACGGGAAAGTACAACTATTAATATATTTTTGTCCAAGTAAAAAAAAAAAAAAAAAAACTCTGACCCATTTTAGACATTTTTGCACCTACTGTAGTTCTTCCTCAGAATAAAATATGAAGAAGTCCTGGAATTTATGAATAATTTACATAATATAGAACTACTTTAATCAATCCACCAAAAAATCTACAGGTGCCTGACATAAAAGGCCTTGAACAGTGCTATAGTCTGAACATGTTCCCACACCTTTTGATCATCCAATTCCCATGACTTCTCCATTACCTTTTCCCAGTCATACATAATTACTGGCTGAAAATTTAAAAATAAGAGACAGTCAACAATCTCTATAAAACAATCTTTTATAGAGATTGTTCTATTGTTCTCGCAAACAGTAATGTCTACCACACACACACACATATATATATATATATATATATATATATATATATATATATATATACATGTGTGTGTGTGTGTGTGTGTTTAAATTGTGATTACTAGATCAGAAAAAGACTGATCAGATATATGTCTATCATATATATATATATATATATACAATATATATATATATAACTCGGTTTTAACAGGCCTGACACTCTAACAGGTTTACACATAGGCCTAAATACAATAAATACACTTATTGTTTGGTGTTATTACCTCTGAAAAAAGGCATTGAAACGAAAATAACCAATGCCATTACTTTCTGCCATGCCACACAACAGATGGACAGTGAATGAACTGTACAAAATGTCAACCCACTAAAACTGAAAAAAAAAAAAAAAGTTTAATAGCTAAATTAAGTAAAACCATCAGGACAATATGCAGTGATACATTCATTGCACATTCCCCCTCTTGAATTGAATAACTTGTTAAGAAAATCAAGTTGAAACCATTAAAAAAATAGGAAAAAGTTATTATTTTGACAAGTTAAAAGGACAGATGGAAACAAAGATGACAACATTTTTACAGTAGGTTGTAGCTTATAGACAACTACAATAGTCCAAACTTTCCTCAAGCCTCAAGAAATCATATTAACATTTTACAATAGAATATTAAGTTACGCATTTAAATAAAACAAGAGCAGCTAAATAAGCAACAGTTCCAAGGGTCCTTGGAATATCGCGTGCAGTAGCCTAGGCTATTAGTATATCTGGGCGTGTAAAATTAAAAACAGGAAACTGGAAACAAAATGAACAGGAAAAAATATGGTACAAATGATTTGATGCTATGATAGGCCTATATATCACGCTGCGATACAAATCACTTATAAGTAGCTTAGTAGTTTGCAAAAAAAGTATCCCGGCAAAATTTGACAGCCATCATCATCATCCACACGCATCCATGAAAGTCTACGGCATAAGCAAAGGTCTAACTGTTGAGGTCACACAGCGCGTGCATGTTAAATGCAGAGCCGTTACATTAAACGCAAAATGAGATAAGTAGGCTACAGTTTATTTCCTCCACTCACCTCAGTGCTGAGGAGTCGACAGTAGTCCTGGTTTCGATGTGTATCCTCTGAGCGCTGTGAAGACACTACTGTGGACTTCAGGACTGCATGCGTCTCCCTCTCCCCTCCACTGTGTGCGGAGCATCTCTCTCTCTCTCTCTCTCTCTCTCTCTCTCTCTCTCTCTCTCTCTCTCTCTCTCTCTCTCTCTCTCTCTCTCTCTCTCTCTCTCTCTCTCTCTCTCTAAGCGACAGAGCTGCTGATTGGCTGTCACATAGCGCGGTGACTGAGAGGGATCATGAACATTAAGGGATGCGAAAGTAGTTTGTAAATTAAGCCTGCGTTATTTGATATCGTCGGTTTGGAAATGTGGGTCACTCTATTACCTCTACTTTAATTCAGTTGATCATGAATCTATTTTTTGGGCCGTAGAGGAAAAAATAGGAATCATGAGTCTATTTTTTTTTTTCTGGCCGTAGAGGATACATTTTATTTATGAATAAATTATGAAAGTTCATTGCGTTTACCTGGCTTTTAATAGATATTTTTCAAACAACATAAAAATAAATTCAGTCCTGTCATTTACTCCTCATATTCATGTTATTTTAAACTTGGCTTATTTTCTGAAGAGCTCAAAAAGAGATGTTAGGAATAATATTAGGGACTGCCTGCGTAGTCATCATTCACCTTTTTCTCTCAATATGCTCTAATGAAAGTGAATGGTGACTGAGGCTGTCGTGCTTACAACTCATTTTGTGTTCTGAACAAAGACGTTTGGGTTTGGAACAACATTGTTGTGGGCATGAAGCCTATTTTACATTGAAGTTGTATCATCCATATATTTTTCTGCTGAGAATCAAACCCCCCACAAGACCCCAGCTGACTTCATTTGCATGATGCTTTAGCACTTTTCTGAGTGATAAAATAATCACTGATGTATGGCCTGGTTATAAAAGCAGTTGTACAGTTAGTCTCCTCAATAAAGACAATGCGTCTAGAAGGATTCTTTTATTTACATCTAACTATTGTGTTCTTGGCCTTCTTGCATTTAACTGAGCTCCAAATGAACATTTGTGAGAAGAAACATTTATCTAGTCCAGACGTCAGTCAAAAGAATAGGCTATACAGCAGTTGCTCAGCTCACTTCACTGACAATCGTTCTCCGGCATCCTTTATTTTGTATTATCTCTACTGAATATTAAATGATGTAGTCTCGGGAGGAAAATTTGAGTTTGAGCGCTCCATTACGGACAGCAAGCTGAATCAGTTTATTCTTACTCTACCATTATTAAGTATTAGATCAGGGGTTACAAACTCAAAAGACTTGGGGGCAGTAGCTGCACATTTGAAAAAACAACAAAAACAAAATTGTTTACAACCATTACAACATTTTTTTTTCACCTCTTTTTTATTTAACACCCCTTTTTCAAACTTGGGTCCAGGGTCCAAAAATGTATTTTTAGGGCTGTCGAAGTCATACACGTCTCTTTGACTTAGACGTTTTCTACTTTGGATGAATGTATTTTGTCTCTTAGAAGAAAACCCATGACTGTGTGTATAAATAACATAACTCGGGAAATAAAACTAGACAGGTGTCTCTAAACTCAAAACTAAAAACAGAGTTTTTGTTACCTAGTAACCAAAGCGCTTGTCAATGAAGAACCAATCAAAATTAAGTAATGTTTCATGTCATTTTGCCATACCTCCTTATTCTATAAAACTGTTGTATTTGTGTTTACTGGTGGGATTCTCAATGGGATTTGTCTGAGATCCACCGGCCATGCTTATTACTTCTTTTTGGGAGATTCTGTGAGAAGTGCTCGAGACTCCCGGCCGTACTAAAGAACATTTAAAGGACAATTAGTCAAGTTTGTCTGTGTGTCATTAAATCTGCCCAGCAAGAGAACAAGTAAGTTAGATTATCGTCTCTGGACGCTGTAGTCGACTGTAGACTCGCTGAAGTATAGTTAGGGATCGGATGTTGTAGTCGACTGGAGACTCGCTGAAGTAGTTAGGGAGCGGATGCTGTAGTCGACTGGACACTCGCTGATGTGTGAACGTAGACTGTCAATTATATTTAGACACACTAGCGTAGTTACTAGAATAATCAGTCTTAGGGAGACAAATCTAAAATAGTTAGGTTTGAGGATAAAAAAAAAATCATAACATCCAACACTACAGTAGGCTAATAGTAAGAAAAAAAAGATTGTAGTCAACATGCAAAGTATCTCCATATAATATATGAAACATTTTGCAAATTAATTTTGAAAAAAATTTGTCTTCATAAGATCACACTTAATTTTTTCACAAAGCATAAAATGAAATAAAGCTGCTATTCTTTTACAGAGAGGAGTTCCAATTGCATGGGAACTGTCATATTTGACAAATATGAAACTAGAGATGAATTGCTTCTAAGAATAATAGATAAATAGGTGTTTAATTCTTGTAAACCAAGTTGTACAATTTGTATCTACAATGTAACAACAAATTATTTTTCAAAGTTGTAAATAAAACAAATATTATTTGAGCAAATTCAATTGTTTGTCTTGCTTGCCGTTTACTTTCAATTATTTGTGATCAGAAGTATAGGCCGGCTTAAGAACCCTGCAAGACAATAATGTTAAACATAATGCAAAAAGTAAACCTGATTTAAAGTGTTTAAAGATAAACTAACACTTGAAAGGACACAACAATGTCAGATTCAGTCCAATGGACTACAGTTTGAGACCCATGGATTAGATAGAACTTGTGAACTGACTTGCTTTGATAACGTAAATAGCTAGCTATGCATCAAAAGTCAAGCCCTAAAGTCAAAAACCACATACCATGGTCAGTCATCAGTCAGACACCCCATGAAACCTGGTCACACTTTAACAAAGTCAGCCCCCTTCCTGTTGACTACAACTCCTACACACAATGGGAATTCCTGTAGGCCTGATGATGCCTCATTAGCTGGTCTGTTAGTGGGGGCACAGAATAAAGTTATTGTTTAAGCAGATTTATGACTTAGCATTTAAAAACAGACTTGAATGATGTGATTTTTTTCATTGCTTTGCTCACAAGACCATGAGACATTTCACAACATCAGAAGACATTCTAAAAATTGACTTGAAAAAAGAATGACCGAAACAGCACCAACAATTTGAGTTACCAGGAATGTGACAAGTGCGCTTACAGGCATGATGGTTGACTCTGGAAATGGCATGCGTTTACACACACCAGCTGAATTCTAACTGATGAAATCCTGACATGACCTAAATGTATTCTTTGACATGGCTGATGCACATTCCACTTGACTGCTGACAAAGCAGAAAGTCTTGCTCAAGTCAGCGTGAATAAATCTATAAATGCTTATATGTGTATAAAAAATGGACAAAATGGGAAAAAACTGCATATATTCAGTCATACTTAATGCTGTATGTGCATGTGAATGAAAGAAAATGTTTGTTCTGTATAAACAGACTACTAATAAAAATGGTTTTGAATCCAATAAACTGGTCTAATACTGCAAATTATCAATCTTTTTGTCTCCAGTCTCATGCTAACAGAGGTTACGGCTGTAATGTAAAGATGAGTATAGCGAATATGTTGACGGAGGACGGATGGATAGCACATGCCCTATGTAAAGACCCATGCATTCAGCAGATGTTTATGTTGCATTAAGTGTTTTCTAATCTATCATGGCTACAACACACACTCCATCGCTCATTAATTTAACTATGAGGGGTGGGGATTGTATTGAAGCTGAGTTTCATCCAAACAATATATATATACACCAATCTACATGGTTACAAAAAAAAAGTCTGTTGTTTCGTTTTCTAATCCAGGTCTGCCAATATGAATATTTTAAAGGATTTCACCAAGGCTTAGGACAGCAAACGATAATCCGCTTTAAATCAGTAACAGCATATTGGCTCAGGCTTATACCTTATACCACCCAAGACAGAGTCAAGGAGCAATGGGTGCAATGTAAAATAATAAGCAGCCCAGATATGTCATGGAATGCCGTCAACATTTCAAAGTGGGGGTGGGGAAGCAGTGCACAGAGCAAGCAGCGTTTTGTATTACATACATAATTATGGTGATGACTTCTTGTCACATCCGAGTCTTCGTATCTCCATGTTTCCGACTGCAAATGTCTGAATTTCTTTTAATGAATGTGGAAACTTCAAGGGCATCTTATTTGCATGTCCTGTAAGGCTGGTGTGTTAAAGAGAGGAGCTGTAAAGTTTCTATTCCCCGAGGATCTAAATGTGAGTCATTTGAGGCCTAAGAAAGTAGTCCCGAGTGCTCTTGCTGAGCATGGCAAATCGCAGGGGTTGACCCGTCTCCACCACTGGAATGTGATTTCCACCCTCAGCAAGAGAGCAGATCCCAAAGACCCAAGGCAACATCACTACAGCAGGGGAAAACATTTATTAGACGTCCTTCTCAATAGACTTTGTCATGTTGCATTTATAGGGCAACTCTCGTGGGGAAACAAGAGTGAAAGAGACAAACACTGGCCTAAACAGTTCAAGAAGGACATACAAGTAAGTGTGTGTGTATGTGTGTGTGGGTTTATTTTCAAAATACAGGGTAACTTTGCAATAACACAATTCGTTGACAATGTATTAGGTATAAACAAACTAACAATTTTGTTACAGCATTACAACTTTATGTTAACTTCTACATATACTAATGCATTTTTAACATTATAAGATATCTAAAAGAACTTAAATGTATTATAAACAAACATGAAGAAACTAAATAAATTACAAAAACATATCTATAAAATATATGTAATACTAGCTGTCCTCATCCTTTAGCGTCATATAGGTGACGCTATATGACAAAACGGCGAAATACTACGCACATGGCACCCTTTATCGTTAATATAACACGCGAACCCAAGGCGTCATAAATCCTTTAGCGTGAATATGAGACTACCCTGCCCTACCCCACACCTAAACCTACCCATCACAGCGCGTGTTATATTGACGATAACGGGTGCCATGTGCGTAGTATAGCGCCGTTTTGTCATATAGTGTCACCTATATGACGCTAAAGGATGAGAATGCGTTGGTCATACCATACAAAAACAATTAAAACATTTACAATATTTAAAGATTTAAGATAATTCCTTTAACTATTTCG